CTTGCTGATTGAAGGATTAAATCATGTGGACCCCAATCCAGCCACCTTCATTCATTCATCCATAAACAGTTACTAAGCACCTCCTATGTGCTCTGGGTATAGAACTATGAATGAGACAACGTCTCTACCTTCATGGATGCACCTTCTACTTGGAGAAAACAAGATGAACAAACTCATGTGAAAACAGACCTTTCCTTTAAAAGGTGGAGCCTAATGCTTCTCTCCTTCAGTGTGGACTGAACTTGTCATTCATTTCTAAAGCAATTGTATGTAAATCAAGGGAAAACTGTATTTTGTCTGGAAGTTCACCATTTCAAAACCACATCACCACCATTTATGCCAAACATGGTTGAGTCACCAAAACAGCACCACATCTGTGTGGTAAGCCACTTCAGAGACTAGGTCATAAAAATCACTGTGGCCTGCTATGATGGCTCTCTCTGTTTTTCTCTTGGGCCACTCGCTGTGGGGAAAGTAAGGTGCTGCGTCAGGGACACACTCAGCAGCCCTATAGGAAGGTGAAGAACTGGGATCTCCAACCAGCAGCCCTGTGAGGGAGCCACCCTGTGGGCGACTCCTCCCGCTCCGGACAAGCCTTCTGATGACCTGGCCCCTGCTGACAGCCTGACTGCAACTTCATGAGAGATCCTGAGTCAGAACCGACCTAGCTGCTCCCAAATTCCTAACCCATAGAAATGATGAGATCATAAACGTTTCCTTCCAAGCCACAAAGTGTTCAGGTAATTTTTTTTTATGCAGCAAAAGATACCTAGTACACAGATACACACACACCACCATTTCAAATTAAATTTAGTGCAACAAGTGAAGTAAATCAAGACGATGTGGAAACAAGTCGTGGGAGCAGGGGCGATAAGACTGGGAAGTTAGTGACAGCCTCCCTTGACAGTGACCTTGAGCTTCGAACAGAATGGTGGGAAGGAGCCAGCCAGCAGGGCTTTCCAACCCCAATAGACACCACACACCCCTTTTTATAACCACTAGGTCTCCATTAACTATTCAAAAATGAAATTCATAGGCAATTAAATCTTCCCGCACACATAATTTTTTTAAAAAAAGATAATGACCTAACAAAGATGAAACAAAAGGAAAGCAATGGATAATTTGCAAATTTTATTATGATGTATAAATGCTCAGACACAATTACTCTAAGTCTAAGCCTTAGAGTCTAAGGGATACAATAAAGCAGCCTGATGCAGGAACCTAAAAGAATCCCTCGAATGGTGACAGCTACAAAGCAGACTTACCAGGGTGCTGTGGTGGCAACTCAGATACCATGGCTGGAATACATGGCAGTGATGTGGTTTTGAAATGGCGAACAACAGTTCCAGACAAAACAGTTTCCCCTTGAACTACAATAATAGTTGCATTCCTGGAAAATTCCATACATATTAAAACAGGATGAGAAGTGCTTTGTGTTTATATGTAAAGCAGATGTAGGTTCTAGGTTTAGATCATTTTGAACAGGTTTCTCCCCTACAGGGATGTCTAGTCCAGCCACGTGAGAAACGTGTAAATCTTTGCCATTTGGGATTGTCCCGCTCTCTGCAGGATGTT